TGGCATTATTTGTGACAAAGAATGTTCTAGTGACTAGAGAATTTTTTGGAGGCTTTCTTCTTGTCCACCCTAAAAGTGACAACTTCATTTCCATTTGCCTGGTTTGTTTTTCTTGACTTTCATCAGAATACATTGATTTTTTTTTCCACAACCAGAAGCCTCTTCTCTCCCTTATAGGTATTGGGACTCTCCTCCTCCTCTTCTCCTCTGCCTACCTCCCTAAAGTGCAAATATAAATGACTTAAGAGAGGTGTTTGTTGGTACATGTTACCTAATATGGCCCTAGCAAGAGCTTGGTGATGGTGGAAGAGCCAGCAGAGATTCGGCTTCTCTCCCATGACACTGTTCACTTGGCTAATCTGGAGGTCAGCAAGAACGCTTCTTCTCCCTCTGCATAAGATACTTCTCCAAGCCTGTTGCAAGATGATGACTCAAGGTTGCAGATACGCAGATCCTCAGAAGTTGTCCCAACTGTTGATTTGGAAAAGAAATAGCAAGTGCGTAGGTACCTTGTTAGCACCTACTGCACGTAAAAGAACTAAATTTGGATGTAAGTATGTTAGTCAGCTTTCTGTTACTGTAGAAATACCTGAGATAATATACTTGAAAAGAGGAGAGGTTTATTTTTTACTAACAGTTTTGGAGGTTTCAGTCCATAGTCAGTTGTTTTTGGGCCTGTGGCAAGTGAGTACAACCTAGCAGGAATGTGTGGCAGAGAAAGCCCTCGCTGCATATTTAGAAGAAAAAGAAAGAGGAAGCTGCTGAGGTCCTAATATCCACTTCAGGGGCATGCACCCAGTAAAGAAAAGACCTTCCAATTGCCTCCATCTCCTAAAGGTTCAACATCTTCCCAATAGCACCACAGGTCTGGAGACCAAACCTGTGACACATGAGCCTTTGGGAAACACTAATTCAAACCACAATAACACAAAATATTTTGGTATATTGGTTTCTACTTTCTTTTTTACTTGGTATCACATTTCAGAAAGACAACTCTTTATACCTGTGCTTGTTATCCTGTCAAAAATGACAGCATAAATGCTACAATCAAAACATCTGAATACTTAATGAGGTATGCTGAATGTATGTGTTGTGCTGAAGGCATTTGGCAGAAAGGTCTTTGGGAAAAGAAGCCAACAGAAATACATCACTGAATAGTTAGAATTAGCAAATCAGTTAGGGCCACTAAGATATTGTCCATGGGATGTTTTCTATCATTCAGGATATGGATTTAGTGGCTGTTTCAAAGGAGTTGTGTTTTTTGGGTTTTTTTTATGATTAAGCCAGTGATTTTAGGTGGGTAAGGAAACAGTTCTCAGGTTGTTACTTCATAGAAAAGAAGCCATAGATCCATTGTACCAATTCTGCTATTTCTTTATGTAGTTAATATGAAATACAGCTTTTGAGGATACACTTGGAGAGTCAGAGCAAGATAGCAGAGTAGAAGTTTTCTCCATCTGTCTTTGAGAATAAGAGTCAAGACACTATATCTGGAAGAGTGTAAGAGTCCCAGGAACCAGAAAAAAAGGACAGAACAGCTGAAAAGCACAGAGAAACAGAAAGACAACAGAGTAAATTAAGAAAGTCTGCAGCTCAAGCCTCTGACAGACTGGCAGATCCAGGTGTGGGACAGGCTTCCAAGCCTTAAACCCAATGCAGGGATTTGATAGGACAGTGACTTCTCTGTTGTAACAGGCTAGTGTTGGACAAGAAAGACATTCTTTCTTTTTCCATATCTCAGAGAACGAGGGCCCACTATACAAGACTGAGATAGACACTTGGGGGCACTTGAAAACAAGGAATGATCATGACTCAGGGAATCTTGGGACACCATCTACAGTGTCTGCTGGGGAGGCAGCCACTATAAGGAGTCATGGAGAAGGAGAGGGTTTAACTTGTAACCATTGAGAAGTTTAAGCACCCAGGAGCTTGGGCAATGAAAGATGGGGTGGTAGGTAGTCCTGCCCTACCTGGTTAGAGTAAGTTCCATTGCCTGAGGATCACAGACAAAGCAGAGCACCAGGCTTGTGTCTGGTAGGATGCTCTAGCTCTATGAGCTTCCTGCTGCCCACAGGTGTTTGCTGCCAGGCAAGGTTTGATGCTGAGCTACTCTGAGAGCTTGAAAACCAAGGAACTGTGGCTCAGGGAGTCTTGGGATATCTTGCCACAGAATCTGGGTGGGAAACAGGCACAAGAGGTGGTTGTAGAGAGGGAAAGGATCTGACATGGACCTGCTGAGAAGTTTAGGCAACAGGAAGTGAAAGGTGCAGTGGCTGATGGCCCTGCTTCTCTGGTGAGCACAAGTCTCATTGCCTGAGGACCACTGCAGAAACAGCACCAAGCCCATGGCTGGCAGAGTGCTCAGTCTCCAGGCGCTGTCTGCAAGTTGAGGGGGTTTTCTTCCACATGAGGTGAGAGCTTTGAGCACAGGACCCCAGGGAAAAATGATAAGGAAGAGTAATAGGGGTTAATCTGATAAGAGTACAATATATCCATAGGTAGAATACCATGGTGAAGCCCATTTGAACAATGAACAAACTTTGGCTTTTAATCTGTTTTAGATATGTCTCTTAAGCACATAGTTGGATTTTTTTTTTAATTGAAGTCTGGAACTTTTTTTTTTTTGTCTTGTAACAAGAAGACTTACACTTTTACATTTAATATAATTAACAATTTATTTAGGTCCATAACTAACCTTTTATTTTGTGTCCTTTCTTATACACTGGTTCAGGGCTTTTTAAAAATCTCCTTTCCTCCCTTCTCCCTTCCTTTACTTTGTTCTCCATGTGTCATGTTTATGAGTTCAGAAATTATAACCTCAGCTAACAAGGAATTTATGTAAAAATTACTATAATCATAGTAAAAAACATGGAGTTTACATTGCCAGTTTATGTGTTTGTACACAGGATTTCCTTATGTAGCCCAGGTTAGCTTCCAACTTGAGACTCTCCTGCCTCAGTCTCCTGAGTGCTGGGATTATAGGTATATGCCACTAGGCACAGCCTACATTGCTGTTTTAAATATGAGAGTGTTAAATAATTCTATTCTCTATACCTTCACTTATTTAACATTTCTCCTTTCTAAACTAGTGTCTGAGGTTTTTGTCCTTCATATTTATATATTTAATTTGTTCACATTTTCAGGAGACACTTTTTTTGTTGTTGTTTTCTGTTTTTTTTTTTTTTTGCTTTTCTTTTTTTTATTGTTTTATTATTCATATGTGCATACAAGGCTTGGGTCATTTCTCCCCCCTGTCCCCACCCCCTCCCTTACCACCCACCCCACTCCCTCCTTCTCTCCCCCACCCCCTCAATACCCAGCAGAAACTATTTTGCCCTTATCTCTAATTTTGTTGAAGAGAGAATATAAGCAATAATAGGAAGGAACAAGTGTTTTTGCTATTTGAGATAAGGATAGCTATACAGAGAGTTGACTCACATTAATTTCCTGTGCGTGTGTGTTACCTTCTAGGTTAATTCTTTTTGATCTAACCTTTTCTCTAGTTCCTGGTCCCCTTCTCCTATTGGCCTCAGTTGCTTTTAAGGTATCTGTTTTAGTTTCTCTGCATTGAGGGCAACAAATGCTAGCTAATTTTTTAGGTGTCTTACCTATCCTCACCCCTCCCTTGTGTGCTCTCACTTTTATCATGTGCTCAAAGTCCAATCCTCAGGAGACACATTTGACTTTTATCTATCATATTTGTTCATTTTCTAATTCATTAATTTTTTACATGTGTTTCTCAATCTTTTTATCTTTTAAAATATTTTTATATATTTTTATAAATATCTTTCCTCTATTTGGGAGGATATTTTTGTTGTTATTCTTTATTTTTTATTTATTAATTTTTTTGGTGGGACTGGGGTTTGAACTCAGGACTTTACAGTTGTAAAGCAGGTACTCTACTTCTTGAGCCACATCTCTAGCCTATTTTGCTCTGTTTATTTTGGACATGGTGAGGGGTCTTTCAAACTATTTGACTGAGCTGGCCTCAAACCATGATCCTCCTGATCTCAGTCTCCCAAGCAGCTAGGATTACGGTGGTGTTGTTATTCTTTCTCAAGGTCCTTGAGTTAAAATATAGCTTATTCCACTACATCTTTTCTCGATTTTTAATAAACGTGCCATGGCTCCATGTACTTCCTCCTGAGCACTGCTTTAAACCATCCCATGGCTTCTGCATGCAGTGCTCACTGTACGCATTTCTAGAAGATTTGACCTGTTCCTTTCCATTTTCTCTTAAAACCAAAATTCTTTAGAAAGATGGTGAGAAAATTATATGTTGAGACAGCTCTTTTAGATTGTACCTTTATGTTCATTTCTAACTGCTTTACTCTGGTCAGAGCATTGCTCTGTTCTGGAATTAGCTGAGATCTTATTTATGGTCTAACATTTTGCTCACTTTTGTTAATCTGTAAATCCTAATTAGCTTGCCCTTGTTCCCATCCTTGGTTGTGGATTCCTCCATGGTCCTGGTTGTCCTTGTGTGTTTGGTGACTCTGGGTTGCTTTTCATGGTGTTTGTCACCTTTCTGTGAATGCAGATTCTGACTATTGTGATGCATGGCAGTGAGTGTCACTCACACAAAGTTTCTGGGATGGTTCAGTTCCAGGGGAGTGGCTGCCAGTAGGTGGTCACCAGTAACATTTTATCTTACAGCTGAGACTCAGAGAGGAGAGTAAGGTGCCCCAGTCCACACATCTGTAAATAACACAGCCGGGCTGCTAGTCAGGCCATCTGGCCCAAAGCCCACTCAGTTCTCATGATGACCTTGCTGGCCCAAAGCTTCCCAACACCGATGAGCCCATTCCCCAATGAACACAAAACTCATAGAATTTTAAGTGTACTTCTTTTCTTTTTTACTCTAAAAAAATTGACAATAATAAGCTGAACACTGCACAAAGTACCATGGGTTTTAATCTCCCCCACCCAAATATCACCCTACATTCCTCAGACACTACACTTTCCCCATCTCTTAAAATCCTACATAAAATTTCCCTAGAATGTAGCGACCCCAGACAGGAGGATTCTCAATTCCAGACCATGGCAGCTCAAGGCATCTAGGAAATAAATTAGTGGGAGGGAGGCTCCTAGCTGGCCTTGCCCAGCTCTGTCTCGCAGACCCAGTGGTAGAGCCTCTCACACACATCATCGTTCCAGCGTCCATCCCAGGTGAAGTGGGCACAGTCCTCGCCTCCTCCGAGCCCATGCCCATGCCAGTTATCTGGCTGCAGTGGGCTCCAGTTCCTACAAAGGGGAGACAGCCATGTGCCGCAGGAAAACAGACCAGGTCCTCAGGTGCCCCCAATGCTCTGGGACCAAAGATTGTGAAGGTGGAGTGGTAACAGGTGGAGGGAACCAGCTGTGGGTGGGCACACACACTCACTTGAATCCTTTGTCATAGTCAGTTCCGTCCACCCATCTCCAGGGCCCATTTTGATCAGTTAGACCCATCCAGTTAACTACTTGGCCCATGTGGTCTTGCAGAAATTTCTGTGGAGAGAAGGGTGGTGACCTCTCCATTACAAAAGCCAGCCTCCCAGAAGAGAGAGCCATCCAGGCCTCACCTGCTCTTCCATGGAGTTGACCACCACCAGATGGGCATTCTCCAGCTGGCAGTATCTGTCAGCCTGGGACCAAGATTTCCCAGACTGAGAGAACCAGTAGCAGCTGCCTTTGTGCTCCACCCAGTTAAGAGGGCAGCAGGTCTTTACAGACCCTAAGGAGAATAAAAGAGGGTAGGGAGGCTGAGGTGGTGCCATTGCAACATCTGTGGTATACTGGCATCAGCCATGCCCATAACCCTCCTCACCATTGCTCTTGACGTGGGCCAGCTCACAAGTCAGAGACCTCAGGTCCTTTTCCAGTTCCTTGATTTGCAGGACCATGTCAGATTGATCTGGAACACACAGAGAAGACTGAATACAGTTCACTAGGCATTGGCTCTGCTTGGTACTTGCTAGGGCTCAAATACCCTGCATAGGGCCCAGCCTAGGAATCTCCCCACGTTCCCACACACCCCATGCCTGTGCAGAGGCACAGCCATCTGACCTGCTTTGAATTCTTCCTCCTTCTTCTCAAATGTGCTCTCCAGGGAAACCACCTTCTCATTCAAACTGCGGGCTGGGAAGGAAGGCAGCTCAGCACCTGGAGGACATGGACACACCCACCCTTCCCACTCTCTTAAAGACCAGATGTCACACCTGTTTGCAGTTCCTGCCTGTGATCCTCCACTTGGACTTTCAAAAACTTTATCGTTTCTTGCAAGCTATGGCCTGGAGGACAAGAGAACTTGAGCTCAGTAGTCAACCCCCACCCAGGCCCACCCATCCCAGAGCCCTAGTCAAGCCCAGCTCACCCTGGGAAGTCAGTGTCTGGATGTCAGCCTCTGTGTGTGAGGTGATGTTGCTGAAGGTGGTTCTCAGGGTGACCAGGTCCCTCCGTAGCTGGGAATCTGATGAGGTGGAAGGCACAGTCAGCACCAAAACTGATCACGTCCCACCTGTGCAGCTCTGAGCAGGGCACTTGACACGTATCGTCTCTTTCCATAACCTCACAGCAACCAAGTGGGGCAGCTCTGTTGTTATCCATAATTGCAAGTGAGGACACCTAGGCTTAGAAGGGGAAGGAATGAGGCCACATAACCCAATAATGAGTGAAACAGCCAGCAGCCATCCTGATCACTATCCCCACCCTGCTCTCCCCACCATTCTCATTAGTCACTCCCTTAAGATCACTGCCCATGATGGCCCCTCTGGCTGTCAATAGCAGTGCCATTGTCAAGACCTCATTGATGTTCACTGTGTCCATCACTGTTCCTACTAAAGTTCTCACCATCACCCCATCGCTGCTCCACCACTGCATGCCATAATTTCTCCATTCCCTGCCCACCCCTGGTCACGTACTTTGGGATCCAATCACACAGACAACCACCAGCAGAAGGAAGCTGAAGCCCAGAGAGATCAGGAAAAGGCAGGTCCCTGAGCAGATATTCCTCAGGATGGACTGAAGAGGAGTCACTGAAAGACAAGAGGGTGTCTGGATGAGAGTGGTCCTGGATATCGAGAGACAGGAGGAGGAGAGAACTCCAAAGACCTTTCTAGGAATGACGACTTGACTCTTTTATTGCTCGGGTATAGCTATAGGGTTATTCTCAGGACTTTGATCCCTCTCAAGCACCAGAAATCCCTTCTTACACAGTCCTTTCACAGTCCTGGAGACCCATATACACAGACCTATAAGTCCACATGCATAACCACAGACAGACAGGAACAATAGTGATATGTGTGGTCTTGTCATCACAGCTAGGGAAGGTACTGCTAGGGCACAGAGTTGGATGCAGCCAGGTTCACACACATCTTCATGACTGGTGTGCATATAGTTTGCCCTCTAAACCCAGCTACCTATAATACACATCTCTCATCCTCTGCCCACAGAGCACAGGAAGCCAGGTCACTGATGTCTTCCCGATCTCTGTCTGTCTGTGGACCTATATCCTTTTCACAATGGGCCCTCAGGAAGTAACCCCCTCAGAGTGGAGACCCTACACCATACATGGCAGAGGTGACATACAGCAGGAATCCTGCAGGACACAGTAGGGGGGCACAGTAGGAGAGTGTGTTTCTCCTTTCTTCCTTCCTACCTTTTCCAGTTCCGAGATTTTTCTCCTCACACCCCACGTCCTGGAAGTTTTCAAACTTCATTGTCATGCTTGAACAAAAACAAGGACTCTGAAGCTGTTAGAGCTGAAATTGAGGGACCAGTGTCCACACTGGTGTGGAGGTGGGCCCAAGGAGGAGGTGGGAGCAAGTGGAGCTGATGTAAGATATGATATCCAGTTTAAAATGAGCCTTGGTTTAGCCCTGAGTTTGCAATTCAGGGAGAAAAAGGGTTAGGATCAACTTTGAACCAGTGTTTAGTTGAATTTGGGATTAACACTGGAGGTAAAATTAGAGCTAATTTTATTGCTACGACTGGGTCTACAATTGGGCTGGATACGAGGTTGTGTCACAGGCTGGGATCAGCATTAACACTCATGTTGGAGCATATGTGGAACTGGGGCTCATCTTGCACTGAAACTGGAAGTAGAATCGAGTTGAGGTTCAATTTTGGGTTAGGTCGGTATGAAGATTCAACCCAAGTTGAATCCTGGGTTGTAGCTGAGGTTAGGGTTAAAAGTAGGAGTTTAGAAAAACACAGTAGGAGTTTAGGTTAGAACTTAGATTAGAGCTGAAGATGAAGCCAGAGTGGGAGCTAAATTTGAATCTAAGTTTTTAACTGGGGATCGTGGCTGCCATCATCCAATCTAGAATGCAGAAAAGGAAACCGTCTCGTATCTTCACTTGGTAACTAAATTCCACAGTGCTACCTTCTATTTCTTTCCATTTACTCCCATTCTAGACCCAAAGTCTCCCTCTCCCTGCTTCCTCTATGCATGCCATCTCCCTTGGTCTCCTGGCACCCCCAGTCCACTTACCTGGGCAAAGTCTGGAGGCTGTGATTCCTGGTTTTCTTGTGCAGCAATGACCAGAGGTAGGATGTCGCTCAGACTTTCAAGAACTAAATCCTGGAGAGTTGGGGTGGGAGGGATCAAAGGAGGAGCCACACATATGAGGGCGTGCTCCTGGTCTTGTGCCTGAAAGTCACAAGTCTATAATTCCATTTCCTCCAGTTTGGACAGTAAATAGCAATGAGAATAAATTGTAACTGGGACACATGCAGCTTGTGGGGGCAGTTATTGGGTGTGGGGCCAGCTTTGTGCTCATCCAGGGTGTATCTTCTCCTTTTCTCTTTCTTGGAGCTCTCCCATGACTTCCTCATTTTTCCTATATGGGAGGGGGAGCTGAACCAGAAAGGACAGACTGTTTTCCTCTTCTGCCATGCATCTTCATTCACTTCCTGCTTGTGAATTTCCCAGAATAGCTGTGTCTCCATCATTTACTGTTAAGATCAGGTGAACCCATTCTTGAGTTAGAACCCTCAGCCCTTAGGTTATAACCTAAGGCAGCTCCCTGGAACTCCTCTAGTGACCAGGATCCACAGTCCATCATCTTTGACTCTTTATACCCTTCTCTAAATTTCCACTGTTCTTTTTCATCTCTGCCACCTCCTCTTCCCAGCATCACTGCCCTTGGCCATTCTGTGGAACTCTTCAGTTGTCCTCTTGCCACTACTGCCACTACCACTTCTGCTTCTTTGCTGATACCGCACTGTTCTCTGTTCTCAGAAGTTCACTGCTCTCAGAATTCTCATGTTGCCAGCTCAGCCAATAAAATTCAAAAGTAGGCAAAGAAAAAAACATTTGGAAGAAGTCTTTTATTGGGCCTAATGTGGCAACACCAAAAGGCATCACAGTAGAGTCTCCTGGCTGGCTCAGAAAGTAAGCTGAACAGTCTGCTTACATAGCCAGAAAGAGTGGGGGGAGAGAGTGGTAAGAGTGTGTGTCAATCATGCTACAGTCATTCATCTAAGGACTGTGCTCGCACTAATCACAGCACAATCTTCCATGTAAATGAAGGACTGCCTTTTCACCTATTTGGACTTTCATTTGAAAGAAGGACTGTGTTTGCACCAATTATAACCCTTCTTCTGGGCCACCAGGGGAAGTATTTTCCCTCTGGCCTGGGTGAAACTGGCTGTTAGAGTTCACCAGGACTTGTAATGGCAAAAAAAGTATCTGGCACAAGTTATTTGAAATAGTTATGGCTGGAATAGTGCCTTATGGAACCAGAATTATGCTTTGACAGAAACAGCTGGGGTTGCAGTTTTGCTTCTTCAAGGTATCCATGGAGTGTTCAAATCAGCCAGGTTCCCATAAGGGCAGTCTAGCCAGCTGCTGAGCTGATAGTCCTTTGCTCAAGGCAGCTGAAACCTGGGAAGGGTTTAACAGCTATTAATTAGGGAGTCAAATCTCCTCATCCCCCAACATGTTAGCTTATTTAAAGGAAAAAAATCAACATTAAAAGGGTGCCTACAGGGGGAGGAGGAATAAAGGAGAATGATGAGGGGATGAATTCAACTATGATATATTGTAAGAACTTTTGTAACTGTCGCAATGTGCAACAAACAGTGCAACAAAAATAAAAAAAGAAAGAAAGGGGGTGCCTACAATAAAGGCCCAAATCAATATTAATAGTATTTTAACAGTGACTGCCTTACTCTTAACCAAATACCCTTAGGAAGAGTTGGGTCATTTTATCTGTCACATAAGCAGTCTTAGAGGCCTCAGTTGTCAAAGTCCGCAGCTCCAACTTAACTCTCTTCACTGCACTCCGAGGGAGGAAAGAAGGGGATAAAGAACAGGACATTCTGGCTGGAATATGAGAGGAGTCAGGAAAAGGAGCAAATGTTTATTGAGGATCTGCAATGGGGATTGTGCCAGACTTTCCTTGTATTAGCCATTTGATTTCCATAAGTAATTTGGTGGCATTTGCTCAGACCCATTTTGTGATATATCCAATATCACAGTTCATAAAAGAGAAAGTCAGGAGTTAAACTTAGTGCTGCCTGACACCCTGGCCTGGTTCTCTGACATGTACTATATTCACAAACCGGTTTCCATTACATTCTTGGAGACCTGCCAGTGCCTACAGGGGCATCTTGAGTACATGCACACATCCCTTTCAAGTGAAAGGAGTTCCTCAAGTGGTAGAGCACCTGCTTTGCAAATGCAAAGCCCTGAGTTCAAACTCCAGCCTCACCAAAAAAAAGAAATCAGAAAATCAGGAAGGAACCCAACTATAGTGAACCAAAGCAAACACCATGTAGCTTATATTTTCTACATAAATGGTCTTGTGTTCTGGAACTTACTTTTTTAAATTGAATTAAATCCAGGAATATCCTGGATACATATCATTGTGTGTACTGCCATTTATTTATGAAATATTTTTCTATTGGTAAACATGAAGTGTTTTTCCATTTTGTTTTTTTCATTTCCTTTAATTTGTTATTTAGTATTTTGATTAGTAAGTCTAGATTAGCGCTCTAGCTTGGATCTGAAATGTCCTTAGTACACAGACCCATGTCTCAGTGGCTTGGTACCCAGCTTGGCACTATTGGGAGGTAATGGAACCCATAAGAGGTAAGTCCTACTAGGAGGTCTCTAGTCAAGGACGCCTACCTTCTGAGGAGATTGTGGGACTCCAAACCCTTCCTCTTTCTCTTTTGCCCCCATCATAATGTGAGCAGTTTTGCTCTGTCACGCCATCCTGCCATGATATGCTGCCTTAACACAGCTCCAAAAGATCATGGACTGAAACTACTAAAAATCTGAGCCAAAATAAACCTTTTCTCCTTTTGAGTTCATTTGCACAGGTATTTGCTTTAGTAAAGGAAATCTGATTAATACAGCTGGTTTTGGGGAAGCTAATGCTGAGACTGAATTTGGGTGTGAACTATTTATTATCAAACAAACCTGGGAAAGGACAGGAGAAGAAGCAAAACTGGGCCAAGGGAGACCTGACATGGTGTTAGCCAGAAACTCTGAGAACTCTAGGGGTCCAAACAGTATTGTCATGAGAGTTGTCCTGCATTGGGCTGACAAGAATATTCTGTCTTCCCAGGATTGTTTGCTATTCCTGTTTGCTCTTGCTGGTGTTGCTGCCCTTTTGCTCAGTGACTTTCCTGAATTTATGCTATAAAATCTGTATTTGTACGATGGAGAAATAGCAGCCTCTTCAACAAAAACTGCTGGGAAAACTGGTTAGCAGTCTGCAAAAAACTGAAACTAGATCCATGTATATCACCCTATAACAATATTAACTCAAAATGGATCAAGGATCTTAATATCAGACCCCAAACTCTAAAGTTGATACAGGAAAGAGTAGGAAATACTCTGGAGTTAGTAGGTATAGGTAAGAACTTTCTCAATGGAACCCCAGCAGCACAGCAACTAAGAGATAGCATAGACAAATGGGACTTCATAAAACTAAAAAGCTTCTGTTCATCAAAAGAAATGGTCTCTGAACTGAAGAGAACACCCACAGAGTGGGAGAAAATATTTGCCAGCTACACATCAGACAAAGGACTGATAACCAGAATATATAGGGAACTCAAAAAACCCAAAATTAATGAACCAATAAAGAAATGGGCAAGTGAACTAAACAGAACTTTCTCAAAAGAAGAAATTCAAATGGCCAAAAAACACATGAAAAAATGCTCACCATCTCTAGCAATAAAGGAAATGCAAATTAAAACCACACTATGATTCCACCTCACCCCTGTTAGAATAGCCATCATCAGCAACACCACCAACAACAGGTGTTGGTGAGGATGCGGGGAAAAAGGAACCCTCTTACACTGTTGGTGGAAATGTAAACAAATACAGCCACTCTGGAAGAAAATTTGGAGGCTACTTAAAAAGCTAAACATTGATCTACCATTTGATCCAGCAATACCACTCTTGGGGATATACCCAAAAGACTGTGACACAGGTTACTCCAGAGGCACCTGCACACCCATGTTTATTGCGGCACTATTCACAATAGCCAAGTTATGGAAACAGTCAAGATGCCCTACTACTGACGAATGGATCAAGAAAATGTGGTATGTGTACACAATGGAATTTTATGCAGCCATGAAGAAGAACGAAATGTTATCATTCGCTGGTAAATGGATGGAATTGGAGAACATCATTCTGAGTGAGGTTAGCCTGGCCCAAAAGACCAAAAATCGTATGTTCTCCCTCATATGTGGACATTAGATCAAGGGC